ATGCCATTAATGTTTCTGATAGAGAGAAACACTTTTTGAGAGGTCATCATTTTGTGATTAATGCATATAGATTGAGCAGATTGTTTATACTTAAACAAATTTATCTTTAAAAGAAAAGATATAAGCTTTCTTTTCTGGACCTTTTAACATAATGACACTTAGTGGGTTCGCATGTGAATAATATCTCTAGCTTCAGTCCAGTAAACTACTTGAAATTGCTAAATGAGCCGAAAAATATGATTATGTTGTTGTTATTCCTTTAGGTACCGAGTGAAACACATGGCTTTAACAGAGGATCTTGTTATTTCATCCTGTTATGTGTTGTCCTTTTTATCTGGCTGCAAGACTGATGATAATCTCTCATCACACACACTAAGAAGGAATGTGTATAGGAAACCTACAACAACAGGTCAGTACACTCATTTTTTGAGTTTTGTACCTTTGAAATATAAACGTAACCTGGTAAAGTGTCTGGTTCATAGAGCTAAGTTAATCTGTTCAGACGACTGCCTCAATGAGGAGCTTAAGATTATTAAAGAATTACTTAGAAAAAATGGTTATCCAGATAAATTCATTGAGAAAAATATGAATTCAGCACCAAGAAGAGTCAGTATGGCTACAGTTCCGAAGAAACCAATGTTCATAAAATTGCAGTTCCTCGGAGACAACATCAGCGAAATCATAACACAGCGCCCGAAGAATGCAGTTAAAAGAGCTTACTATGCAGCAGAGGTACGTTATCTCTTCACAACCACCCCTATTCTATGTTCGAGAAATAAGGATAAACTACCTAAATTTGCCTCTTCTATGTGTATCTACCAGTTTGACTGCAGCTGCGGAGCTAGCTACATTGGGCGTACAATTAGGCAGGTTCATCGTCGTATTTCCGAACATCATCCAGCTTGGTTAAGCAAGGGACAAACAAGATCTATTTGTAGTTCTATTTTAGCACACCTTGTTGATACTGAGCATAAGGTTGATGTTAATACTGCATTTAAAATTATTTATCACATTCCGACTAATCTTAATTTTGCTCTACGAGTTCGTCTTCTACAAACAGCTGAAGCAATCGGAATCCACCTTAAGAAGCCAAGCCTATGTGTTCAGAAGAAATTTGTACAGCCACTTTCCTTACCGTGGCCATCTCTAGAAGAATGCATAAACAGGACTACGTCGCCCCCCTCCCCCTAAACCTTTAAAAACTATAAAAATTATAATTGTCCAAATTATTTTATTTTTATTTTGACCACTTCATCTTTAATTACGTGTTATCCTTGTAAAATTAATTTATTCTATCCATTTCTACCTTTATTATAATGTATATATAATTGTAGAAGCTGATGATGAATTTATCGAAAAGAGTTCTCTTTGTTCAGTGTCTATTCTTTTGAAAATTTTAATGGGCATTTTTAATCAATTAAAATGTTGTGAGCCGCCTGTAGCGTTGAAGGTTCTCAGTGAGTACCTGAAGTATAACGCTAAGCTCAATGAAACAAAGGCTACATTGGATTTCATTAACAATTGCATCGAGTTAAATCACTATCCTAAAGTTTATTACAAGTCTCTACGTGGAAGCAGAGTTCATCCTAATAGGAAAACGCTGAAACGATATGCACTAAATCAAAAAGACTCTTTATCTACTTTCATTCAAGAGAATGAAATGAATATCGCTCGCAGGCAATATGCGGTAGATGAACTGTCAGAAGATCTTCGAACGCCTTTCATGGAATACGTTACCCAAGTTAGTGAACGAAGAGCACAGAAGAAGCAGATAGAGCTCATGAAAGGACTTGAAAGGAAGCCAGAGGCTGGTAAATTTCCAGCAGATCCTAAAAAGTACGTCTACAATTATAGTAGTGTTGAATTAAATAAGATGCAACTTAAAGTACTTCCACTTGGCCTTCGATTTTGTGACAGACCGAAACGAGTTAATTACTTAGATACTGATATTGAATTTGAAAACCTATTTAGTCAAACAAGGGATCTAGCTCCATCATCCACCTTCGAACTAGAACGCTTCAAATCCAGTCTAGTGCATTGTTGTTATCAGTACAAAAACCTCAAATGCGACAGTAAAAGTTTCTTGACAAAGGAACACAGAGAAGAACTAAAAAGACTGATAAATGAAGAGAGACTGATAATCACAAAGCCGGATAAAGGGTCAGGAGTAGTCCTTCTTGATAGAAATGACCATATTAAAAAGATGAAGGATATATTAAAGGATACACAGAAGTTTCAAAAACTTGAGGAGAAGAAAGACTTCAATAACAAAATAGAGAATGAATTAACCAGACGCTTGAAGAAACTAAGGGAGGAGCAGATAATTTCTGAAAGTTTATATGAAGAAATCAGACCAACGGGCACGTATATGCCAAGATTGTATGGCCTACCTAAAGTGCATAAACCAGGGGTGCCATTAAGACCAATACTTGATATGCAAAATTCGCCCCACCATGCTCTAGCTAGATGGTTAGTAAATATTCTCAAACCATTGCATGAGAAGATAGTGAAATATAGCGTCAAAGATGTATTTGAATTCGTAGACAAAATAAAAGATATTAATATCAAGGACAAAACCATGATATCTCTGGACATAACATCGTTATTCACAAATGTACCTCTAATAGAAACAGTTAATTATATATGTGAACAAGTGGACAAGCAGTCGATAAACATTGGAATCCATATTGAAATCCTAAAAGAATTGATATTAAGATGTACCATGAATGTAAACTTCAAATTCGACGGCACGCTTTACAGACAAGTGGACGGGGTGGCAATGGGCTCCCCATTAGGTCCAATTCTGGCTGATTTCTTTCTAAGTAAGCTAGAAAATGGACCTCTGAACAACCTTATCAGTAAGCTTTCATTTTACTGCCGATATATGGATGACACCTTTATTCTTTGTGATAATGCTTCCGATAGGACTATATTAATTACTGAATTCAATGAAGTACATCCGGCTATGAAATTCACATGCGAGGAGGAATCCCAAGACAGAATTGCCTTCCTCGATGTCCTACTTACAAGAAAGCCAGATGGAAGCATAAAAAGAAATTTACATAGAAAAAGTACTTGGACGGGACAATATACACACTTTCATAGCTTCGTTCTCATGAAATAAAAAAGGAATTTGGTGAAGACCCTTAGCCACAGAGTTAGAGCTATATGCTCTGAAGAAGTAATTAAAGATGAATTAAAAATTGTATATGATACTTTAATTGAAAATGGTTATCCTGACAAGTTTATCAAGAAACATATGACGAAGAAGGCCGAAAAGGACGACCCACTATCTGTAAACAAGAAGCCCCTTTATATACGACTACAATTCAAGGGCGATAAACCAAGTGAGTTAATTACAAAGAAATTTAGGAAAGCAGTTCAAAGGACTTTTAATGCTGGCGAACTACACATCTTATTCTCTACAAGACCGATGGTGCTACCTCGACTGAAAGATGAAGTAACTAGACCAGCCACTTCAAATTGTATTTATCAATTCAACTGCGCTTGTGGAGCGAGTTATGTTGGCAGTTGCTCTAGGAACTTGATTTTTCGTGCTCGAGAACATATCCCACTATGGCTAAGTAAAGGTGTAGTTAGAAGTATTAACAGCTCGATATTAGACCACCTGGAGCAAACCGGTCACAAAGCCAGCGTAGAAGAATCCTTCTCTACAATATACCGGCTACCTAACAAACTACCAAAATCGTCGAAGCACCGCTTACTCCAAACAGCAGAGGCTATTGCAATTCGCCTCAAAAAACCAGTGCTCTGTGTCCAAAAGAAACAAGTCCAGCCCCTACTACTGCCCTGGCCCTCAGTAGAGACTATAAAATGACGAATTTGTACTATTATCTTTCATAATTCTTCTGACATTCAGCTTATTTTATGTTGATGCTATTCAGCTGTTATCTATCGATATTATTGATTTGATGTTATTTAATCATTAATGTCGTTCATAAGACTAATTCATTCATTCATTATAATGTATATATAATTGTAGAACCTGGTGATGAATTTATCGAAAAGAGTTCTCTTTGTTCAGTGTCTATTCTTTTAAATTTGTATTGATTTTCTTCGTTAATTATCAACCCGTTGACATTTTGACACTGTTTAATTATTGTTAACAAACATATCACCACTTGTTTGGTAAACTGTTGTGTATTGTAATAAAAATGTTATACAGAATATATTAGAGTAGAGCCCCAGAGGATGATGAGGATCTAATTGAAAAGTAAATATTTCTTTGCTCAATCTTTCTGTTTTCTAAATCTCTCATCTCCTCCATGTCATCCTCATGGTTTCCCAATAGCTCCACTCAGTTGCCTATCTTGAGCTTCATATCACTCAACGGTCTGCTTAGCGTGTTTCTAGTCCATCTGCGTTTATTGGGTGATCGAATTTTGGTTGGCTTTTGTTACCAGAGTTCCTTGATACTGATACTTTACGGACATTTGATTTTCGGTATGGAGACAGTGAAGGCAACTGTTGATGGAAATCTTAAAGTTGCTCCAAATGTTTTTGTGACTCTCTAAGTTTCTGAATAAGCTAAAAGTACCAAATCACTCGACATTGGTGTTGAAAATCCGGATTTTGTTCTTTATATTGAGTGCTGCAGGTTTGCGCATTGATTTTTCATGCATTTATTCCCCTTGATTTTTAGTGTCATAAATAAGATCAACAGCTTAACAGCCGCCATTAAACATGGAGTATGTAGCCTTCCAATTAGAAGACTCCAAAAAAGTTGAAATATTGGAATTACTTTCTAGTACACCATCTCATTCACTTAGGCTTTTGCAAGGCATAATTTGAAGTTTGCCTATACAGAAAGGAATTTTAATAACGCCACTTAAATGACACGAAATGACCCTAATGAGAAAATATCCTCGCTATTATTTATTATTAAACACTGAGAAACACAAACAAAATGATGAAAAAATTTCAAATTCGTCCCATAAAACATGTCGAAATATGCTTGAACTATCAGTTAAGAAATTTACCTTTTTGATTTATTTGTAATGGCCAAGCTGTTGATAATTGTAGATTTTCTTCGTATACATTACTCTGAAACATTCGCCTCTGTGAATTGATACATTTTTTGTTTTCATGACTAGATTGACGTCTGAAGGTAAGATAAAATAAATTTGGATCCTTCAAACTCAAATGATTTCTTGCAAGTATCTGTTTGATAACATCTTTTACTGTATCTTTTGAAGAAATGGTATAGATCTGTGTCATCTCTGTTCCTTGAGCTAAATCTGTATAGATAAGAATCTGTAAAAGAGAAATATGAAGTGTGATTAATACACAGATATAAGTGATAGCAGAAAATATTCTGCTTCTCTTATATTAATTCTTGATTATGTTCAGTATTTTTTGTGGGACCAATTACTTCTTTGAGTGTAAGTCGGTGGACAAAAGCAAAGTGTTCTGTGTCAGTAGCTTTCATCATCTTGGATAACCTTTAAGTATAAATATACCTCTGATGCCTGAAAGTCAGATGCCGGGGAATCGAATGCAATATCTCTCAAAAACATATACAACAATTAAAATAAAAGCTTTGGCAATTTTCAGTGATTTAAAAGTGAGTAGTTGATATATGCACTTGGTTGTAAAACCAACAATTCACAGTGTGCCATAATGGTGAGCCACCTAACATGGTGGCCACATGACAAACTTGACTGATAGAATTCAGTCTACCTCAAAGATTGGACTAGACACACACGTTACACTAGTTACTGACTAGTGTGCAATCAAAAAATTAATTAATCTATTCAGCTTTAGAATAACTATTACAATTTCAACAGTAGCAGATGAAACATACGCTGCCCACCGAATTGAATGCACATATTTCTTTTTCACTCTGTAATGACCGCGTGGAAGAATAATATCGTCAAAATCGGACACCATAAGTACAGAAATATTCTGGTGGTAAAGTCAAGACTAGCTTTCATGTTTTTAATAATTACAGCTCTACAATTATATATACATTATAATGAATGAATGAATTAGTCTTATGAACGACATTAATGATTAAATAACATCAAATCAATAATATCGATAGATTACAGCTGAATAGCATCAACATAAAATAAGCTGAATGTCAGAAGAATTATGAAAGATAATAGTACAAATTCGTCATTTTATAGTCTCTACTGAGGGCCAGGGCAGTAGTAGGGGCTGGACTTGTTTCTTTTGGACACAGAGCACTGGTTTTTTGAGGCGAATTGCAATAGCCTCTGTTGTTTGGAGTAAGCGGTGCTTCGACGATTTTGGTAGTTTGTTAGGTAGCCGGTATATTGTAGAGAAGGATTCTTCTACGCTGGCTTTGTGACTGGTTTGCACCAGGTGGTCTAATATCGAGCTGTTAATACTTCTAACTACACCTTTACTTAGCCATAGTGGGATATGTTCTCGAGCACGAAAAATCAAGTTCCTAGAGCAACTGCCAACATAACTCGCTCCACAAGCGCAGTTGAATTGATAAATACAATTTGAAGTGGCTGGTCTAGTTACTTCATCTTTCAGTTGAGGTATACTGGGTGCCTACAAATTACCAAAATCGTCGAAGCACCGCTTACTCCAAACAGCAGAGGCTATTGCAATTCGCCTCAAAAAACCAGTGCTCTGTGTCCAAAAGAAACAAGTCCAGCCCCTACTACTGCCCTGGCCCTCAGTAGAGACTATAAAATGACGAATTTGTACTATTATCTTTCATAATTCTTCTGACATTCAGCTTATTTTATGTTGATGCTATTCAGCTGTTATCTATCGATATTATTGATTTGATGTTATTTAATCATTAATGTCGTTCATAAGACTAATTCATTCATTCATTATAATGTATATATAATTGTAGAGCCCGATGATGAATTTATCTGAAAGAGTATTCTTTATTCCGTGTCCATTCTTATGAATATTTTAATGGGCATTTTTAATCAATTACAGCTATATTCCACACAATATTTCAAAACAATACAAAGTTCTTAGCGTGTTTAATAACAAAATATATCCTCTAGGTACAGGATGTTCATGTAAAATAGTGACCAACAGTATATCATGAGAATGAGGAATGCACAGCATTTAGTTGAAGACTGATTAACAATGTGCGCCAGTTTATGCAGAGATCCAGACGCATAAATGGATGATCGGCACAATAGGAAATAGAGAAAAGTCTACGCGTTATATTGGATGGAAATTCAGATGGCCTAGTGATTTAAAGAGGTTGCCGTAGAGTTTCTGTTCCTCGATGGTGTGATATAACTTGTTAAATTACATCTCACTTGTTCATTGTACGAATACTAAACAATATGAAAACATAAAATAGCTCTGTAAACATTTACACTATAAATTCACAATAAAATGTATTTCTTGTGGGGACGCTACATACATTATGTTTAGATAATTTTTGATATGACGAGCTCATTGATTTCTGGACAGTAGTACTGAATGACACATGAACCTTTTGTTTTATTATATAATTAAGGTTACAAAGTAATAAAATGCATTATCCTCCTCTATATATATATATATATATTATAGGGGACCAAATTGTGTTTCTAGGATGAAACTATATCCACTAGTGCCACTTATACCTACTCACTGTGGAATTGAAAACATTTATTTCCCGATACGAAATTAAAACAAACAATAAAATTTAATAAAGCAGGATCCTCGACACTTCAAACTGTGTATATCAATTTGAGTGTGTTTGTGAAAGCAAATACATAGGTCGTACGGAAAGGCGATTGTCTACTCGTATGATGGAGCATTTGCCAAAGTGGTTGAAAACAGCTGAGTGCAAAGTGCCAAAATCCTCAATAACAAAGCATCTTGTGGATTACGGACATGATATTGACGCGGTCAAGTCATTCGCTATTGTCAGCAGACAAAGAAACAAGAAGATGCTTTCAATTGCAGAGGCTTGAACAATTCGAGTTTATAAACCAGGTCTCTGTGAACTAAAGGAGACGGTCGTGACTCTGAATCTACCATGGTAATACGTTTTACTTATAATTCTACCTCTTATTATTATTCTTTATTCATTTAAAACTATCCTTTATCAGTAGGACTATCTAAACTCACTTCAACACTATTATTACTATTGTTAATATAACTGTTACTATTGATATTACTCTGTTTGCAATTCTTGTTATATTCTCTAATGTCTAATTGATTATCTAAGTGATGTAATTGAAGCTTAATGCAATTTATCTTAATTTTGATCTCTCATACTCTCTCCCCTTATCTATTTGAACATGACCTGGAAAAACATTCACACCTATCTTTCTGCATGACTAATTCAATGAAGTTTGTTTACTTTCCAGTCCTATATCTCCCAATGTAATTTCAAAAGTATATATATCCGTGTATGTACAGTATTCAGCTGACGAGTTCTACTGAAATTTGATGAATTCATTAAATCCTGCTTTATTAACTTATATCACTGTGGAATGTTTATGTGTAATCTAAACTAAATTTCGGTGAGTTTCTAAGAATAACAAGAAGTTGTGGATTCTAACCAAATCATATATATATATATATACGTATGAAGCTCTACATAAGTTTTGTTTCTTATTATTATTTTATTCCTTTACGTTCCCGGTGGAACATAGGGCTTCAGGCTAGAGACTTGAAATTTCATCAGCATTGGTGTTTGTTTTTACGCGATGAGGTTGCTAGCCTCATGCCCAGCCTTCCCTCTTTACCAGTCTTATTACTGGTTTAGCGAGGTAAACAAGTGCATCTGCCGATGAGCCACATGCATGATTGGTGACCACTCTAGTTCTGTGCCACATTATTATTGTTGTTTCTACGACCTACTAATAAGAGTTGTTAAAAGCCAAGTTCAGCAAAAATATAGGCATACATTGAAGGCAACGTACATGAACCTATTTTCAGTCAATTTACATAAGGCCTTAGTGTATAAGGGTTGACCCAAGCAACACTTATAATTATTTATTTATTTTCTTGTTTAAATATCGGCACTGAATTTATCAGCCTAATTCCAGCATATGGGCTCCTTGAATGGATAAGGGGATATTATCACGGATAAGAACTCGAAATTAATTATTTGGTAATGACCAGACGTGAAATCCGAAGTTCGCATTTCATCCTATTTTGTGACTCGCCGGATTTACTTACCTACCCCTCACACTGACTAACAGTGCTCCACTGTCAGTCAAACCCAGAACCTAGTATTTCAAACAATAGAGCTTTGTCCACTAGGCCATTGCGCTTGTGTTATGAAAGCTATGGCTGAACATTTTTCCACTAAGCCGACTCCACGTGTGCGAAAAACATGGAAACAGCTTATCACTTTAAGATTTGCATGGCTTTACACCCATTTCTATAATATGTGAACGTGAAATATGTTATATAGAAATTTAATAAATTATAATAAAAATTTGACTGCTTGACATAAGGATTATGCAATTAAGTTGACTGACTATACCATTTCCAACACACATTATTTAATCGCATCTTTACTTATCAAACTGAATGCTTATTAATTTTCCCAAATACACACAAGCTATATGAGTTTTGCAAAGAGAGATAAGTAACAGCTTTATCTACCTAACTGGCTGAAGGCCATATTAATGCATGCAAATATCTAAAGGTTATATTCTCACCTGATGGTTTTCTCTCCCTTTAATTCCTTAAGAAACGATGGCTTTGTAATGCATCAATACTTAGATAATTTTGAATACCAACATTACGTTTACCACAGTCGTTCTCATTATTTCTCATATCACATTTTTCATTTTATCTGATAAAGTTGAAGCGTTGTTTATTCGATGAAAAATATATGCATTTAATTTCCCCCTTGCTGAACAAAGCCGGTAAATGTTCTCAAACCCATAGACGAACCTGCCTAAACGTGCGTCCTATATAACTTGAACCACAGAAAAGGTTAGAATGGTTAGGTAAGACATCTTTCAGTTGCTGGGTGAATATTGAACGGCTGCTAAAGGATAGTAACAGATGTGCAGAGTAGAACGTTTTCTTTATCAACCTGGTTAAAAGCTGCGACAGAATCTCCGCAGGAGTATCTCCCCTGAATCGCAGACGTAAAAATAAAGGCTTTTTCTCCACCTCTGCCCCTTCATGCTTATGAATATTGTAACCTGTGTTGGCTTTAATTAACTTCTCTGGATATCTGTTCTCTTCAAGTATATCCCGGATGACTTAGAGGGAATGGACGTCGCTCTAAATGCTAAGTACCTGATCAGATTACGTTTGCATTTCAGAGGTACGAAGTTAAGAAAGTACGT